CCCCCCGCGCCCAGCTCTGGAGGGCGCAGCAGCCCCAGGGCCCAGCAGGGTCGGGCCAAGGGCCTTGCCTCTGGTTCTTTTTAAAAATAAAAGCCTTTCACAGAGAGGACGGGGCAGGGCCATGCGCCGCAGTAACGTTAGCCACGCCTTTCTCCTGGCCCTGCCTGGCGCCGGGTGCGAGCAGGGGCTGGAGTGTGGGAGGCAACACGAGGGGAGCAGGGGTGCAGCCCCCCCGCGCCCAGCTCAGGAAGGCGCTGCAGCCCCAGGGCCCAGCAGGGTCGGGCCAAGGGCCTTGGTCCTGGTTCTTTTTAAAAATAAAAGCCTTTCACAGAGAGGACGGGGCAGGGCCATGCGCCGCAGTAACGTTAGCCACGCCTTTCTCCTGGCCCTGCCTGGCGCCGGGTGCGAGCAGGGGCTGAGGAGTCTGGGCAGGGGCGCAGGATGAGTCGGCAGACCTGGACGGGCTGTCCTAGTGGCTTCCTCCACTCCGGCTGGTCCCCGACACCCAGTCAATGATGATGAAACTCAAGCTCATGGTCATCATCAAGAAGCCAAGCACAGCGAAGCAAAGGGCCTATGGGGTCAGGGGTCAGGGTCAGGACCGAGGTCAGAGCAGTGCCCTCAGCTTCATACCAGCCCACCGGCCTCCAGGCCCCTCGCACCAGGATCTTGGGGGTGGACTTGGCAGGTTCCCTCTCGGTGGGCACGATGCGGAAGTAGAAGATGGCAGGGAAGATGAAGATGAGGCACGGGGCCGACGTGGCACCTGCAAAAAACCAGGCATGGCCACCAAGGGCTCGCGGCCACCGATTGGCTACGTTCCAGAGGTTGGGCCCGATGAAATCAGTCCTTGTTGGGGGAGATTCTAGGGGGCCCACCAGCCCCTGCTCTTGTTCGCTGCCCTTTGGGGTGGAAAGCTAGCTCGCTGGTGTCAGAAGCATCTCAGTGAGTGAAGCTGGCAAAGAGGAAAGACAAGTGACGAGCTAGAGCCCGAGGCTTAAGGATATCGGGGCACCTGGATACAGCTGTTCCTGAAGGCGTTTCTACTATTTGGGCCAATACATTCCTTTGTGCTTCATTCACTTTGAGTTGGATTTCGGATATTTACAACCAAGGGTCCTGTCCTTGAGACCCATGATACTCAGCCCAGGCCCGTGTGGCCGTCCCTGCAGAGATGGGTGAGGGAGTCAGGCTCCTGAGATGGGTCCCTCACAAGATGTCTCAGAATTGCTGATCTTCCAGCGCAGAGACCCCAACGGTTTGGGGTGGTGGGCAGAGCACCTAGGCTGTCGTTCATGGTCCTGGGCCTGAATCCAGGCTCCTCACTTACCAGCTGAAGGCCCTGCGACTCCCTCAGTGGCTCTAAACTTTAGGCTCCTCACATGCAAGGTGGGGACAAGACCTCCTTTGTGGAGGCACCGCCTCAGGGGTTCTGAGTCCTCAAAAGGTGTTAGAACAGCCTTCCTACAAAACCTCAGCTGGAGGCCATGCCGTGCATGTGGCCAGCAGCCCCCACCTCCATGTGGGTGTGAGGCCCTGGCCGGGTGGCTCAGTGGGTTGGAGCATCATTCTGATACACCAGCGATGCAGGTTCCATCCCCAGTCGGGGCACATACCAGGGTCGATCAATGAATGCATCAAGAGGAACAACAAACCGATGTTTCTCTCTCCCTCCCTCTCTCTCTCTAAAAATCCATTAATTAAGGAATTTAAATAAATAAGTAAGTGTGGGGTGTGAGCTCAGGAGCCCGCCAGGATCTGTGGAGAGAGTCTCGGGGCCGCCCCGCCCAGCAGGCGCTCACCGATGATCCCGAAGATGCCTAGGATGTTGGGGGCGAAGATGACCAGCAGGTTGATGCAGGTGAGCAGGCTGACGGCGATGACCACGTGCCGCAGCCAGCTGAACGGCCGGTCCGGGAACAGCATCTGCTGGATGGCCCGGCGCACCTG